AAAACCGATGGCCGCAGATAGATATGGAAACACAAAATGTATTCGATTTATGAGTTATATGTAGGTGTTAAGGTTTACTAAAAAGCTTGCGAGAATAGTTCAACAAATTTCGAAGTCAAATGAATCAGTCAATGTCTGAAAGCGTTTCTTGTCGTAAGATCCTCGTCCCTAATAATCCTTAAATTTTTGATTCGGAGCTAAGACTATTCTTCATAGCTATTCCTTAAAAAAAAAAACAACTAATTTTGCAAAATCATTGCGGCTCCTGCTTTTGAGGACCCCTTTGAAAACAGTTTTTAAAGTATTGTCTTTGATTAAAATGTTGTTCGAAAATGGTTATACTTGTACTTGTATAAGGCTTGTTGGTGTTGTTGTTATATAGAAATTGCTCATAAACAGAATATTATTTTTCATATGAGAAAGAAAGTAAAGTCGAGAACAATTCTGAATTTGATGCGACAGTTGCTTTTCTTCCATAAATTTATTTATTTTTTTGGAGTGCTTTCGCCATTAAATGGATTCAACTCTATGGTACTCACGAACACAAAAAAACAAAAAATGTATACGAAAGGGCGTCTATATTTGATTTAAATTGCCTAACAAAAACGTGAACTAATGTTTTATGTTTTTATAATACTTATTATTGTTTTTGTTTGTGGCGCATTGTAAACACGCATAAATTTCGACTTGATTAAAGCCTCGAAAACAAAAAGTTTTTTTGGCTGAGACGGCTGTTGAAGGTAAACCAAACAATAGATCACACGAAACGGCAGCGCAACCAAAAAATACTGAAATAATATGCATAATAAAAATAAAAATCATAAAAGAGAAGCAGCAGTAACCGTTAAAGCCAAGAAACCCCGTTAAAAGCACGCGTAACGCCCACACGAAAAAAGCCAGAGTTCATGCTATAAAAAATAAACAAACACAACGAATTTAGAAAAACAGTCAAATACACACATGCTATATATATATATATATATATATATATATATATATATGTATCTATATATATACTATATACTAGTATGCATACGTGTGTGCTCGTATTGGTGTTACAATAGGCCCCCATAAATGGTACACGCGAGTGTGCATGTGTGTGTGTGTGTGTAAATGTAAGCACACCCATACGTATACAGACTCATCCATTTTTATGGGCTCTCGTGCGGTTTAAAGCTATTGATTTGTGACACCGCCTAATCAAAGCCCCAAAAATGGGGCACAAAACTCAGGAAGCAGGTTTTAAAGCCCAATGCCTATAAAGCAGACCGTGTTGAAGAACATAACGACTTTCAACGGACACTAAAAAGCGGATAGCGAACATTGAACAGCAACATTAATATCCATCTCCCCCTATGTCGTACAAGTATGTATGAAATGTTTTAGAAAAATCAGTTTAATTTTTTCAAGTAGTTCAAATTATTTCAAATGTGTCCGTATATAATGTCTGTGTGTATTTAATCAGCATAAGGAGACAAATATGCAGCATGAACTTTTTAACCATTTCTTGTTTTAACCATACGCAGAGAAAGCTTATTATCAACTATATATATACATACACCTAATTCTGTTTTTACACGGTCCTTTTTCTACACGATTGATATAACGAGATTTGAAAATTAACAAGAAAGGTATGACAAAGTCGAGCAGGCTCAACTCTTAAATGCCCTGTACCACCCCACAAAAAATAAATTAATTTAATTTAATTAATTAATTAATTAAATTAAATGATTTTAATTAATTAACTAAATTAAATATAAAATATTCCATACATGCATACATACATTTACATTTACATCAGAATCGTGTTTATGCGTGTTTGTGTACTTGTACATATGTATGCTATAACTTTCTTTCTGATCAACCTATCATAATGAAACTTAGTATACGGATATATAATTACTAACTGGATGTGTCTATCAAATTTAAAATTTTTTAAATTCCAAGAATTACGGGAGTTATAGAAAATCTTGAATAGGGGGGGAGTCGGAAAAATGAACAAACTCGTCCTTTCTCGGGCTTAGGAGAATCTGTATACCAAGTTTGGTTATTCTAGCTCTTATACTTTCTGAGATCCTTGCGTTCATACAGACAGACGGACAGACAGACGGACATGGCTATATCGACTCGGCTTGTCATGCTGATCAAGAATATATATACTTTGTGGGGTCTGCCACGCCTCCTTCTGTGTATTACATGTACACTCGCACAAAACTAATATACCCTTGTACCCTTTGGGTACAGGGTATAAAAATTTCATATACATTTCTTTAGAGCTAAGGCACCTATCAGCTATTTTTGCATATAATTAATGTCTTTTTTTACACGGTTGTTTCTGGAACCACTCTAGCGTGTAAAAACAGAATTAGGTTTATTATTACTTGAAGCATATCATTATTCATAATATTTTTGTCATTTATGTGACTTTTTTCAGTTTTGCCCCAAATCGGTTATTTGTATTAGTGTCCCACCATAATTTGAAATTTGATCAAAATTAGTAAGGATGCTCAACAGTTAGGCTGGCACCATCAAGACGTTCTAATACATGACAGATATCTTAATCATGAGTGTGATTGGCCGAAATCAATGACAGATTTATTCAAGGGAAACTGCATAATTTTTATTAGAATATTCAAAGGGTTTTCGTACCTGATGGTCTTGCGAACATACAAGGTGCGTTCCAAGGTAAACAGGACTTTGTGAATCTATCTATATGTCGACTGGTGCGTTAGAATCTGCTATCTTTATCGATTGTCATGACATTTCAACGATTGGAAGTGAAGTTATTGCGTTTTAAGTGTCAGTATGTTTGTGTTATCGGTGTGAAAATGAGCTTCGAACAAAGGGCCAACATTAAATTTTGTCTTAAAATTGGTAACTATTTTGAATAAAATAAATTGATTTTGCCGAAAAAGCCAATTGTTCGGTTTTTTTTTAGAAGTCCTGTTTACTTTGGAACACTCCTTGTAGATAAACCGAGCTGGTCTTCAAATTATTAAAATGTGTTTTATAGCGGCAGCTTTTTCGAATAAAATTAAAAAATAAATACAATTTTCATGGATGATAAAAGTGAAAGGAAACCCGAAGCTAACTTCTTGTGACATTCAGTTCTATAGCTCTATGTATATATGTTCCATTAAACGTTCCTTTATGGCTGCTTCTTCGCCCCAGGAGAAGTCAAAAAGTGTATGTCGATTTGCGTGAAATGTCAATATGCCGACACTTGTTAGTTGGTCTCTTGACCTTTTCTGGCACTCGTAGAGCTTGAAGTTCAGTCGTTGTACTATATAAGAGTAGAAGCGAAATGTGCCTTACCCCACACCTTAAAGTAGAATACTCAACAAACCCTGTTCAAGAACTTTTGTTTATATGTACTTGTAGTTTGTAGGACGAAGATTCAAGTTTATTGGTTATTTGGTAATTGTGATTTTTTTACTTGAAAATATACATTCTAAGTACTTCAATTTACCATATTTGGTTTGAAGAGAAGGTGTACTATAGCCTACACATTTTAATTGCAACGGCTTCAGAGCCATATACCCATGCGTACATACAAGTATATAAACAAAAGTGTATGTTTGAGTTCACGTTTGAATGCTTAATTTTTCTGTGCATGGTATTTATGCTCTTTTTTGTGTTCTCCTCCAATCCATTTTTTGTTGGTTGTGTTTTTTTACCTTTATGCGGCTTGCATGCATTTGGTGTTTTTATATTTCTTTCCTATTTTCGATTTTTTACTTTAGGGCCACTTAGAGTCAGTCGAAAAGAAACGGTCGGTTCGAAAGACTGACGAAGTGGATGTGTATGGTCCGGCACCAACTGATTGTATGACGAACTAACGAAACTAACGAATGGACGGACAGACGGACGGACAGATGGACGGTGCGGACAGAAGTACAAACAGCAGCAACAATAATAATAGAGCTGAGTCGACCTTTGAAAAGGCAAGCAGCTAAGAAACACACACAATAATGGGCTCGGTCCTAAGTTTACTTTGCCTTTTTCACTTTTGATATTTTGACATTTTCATTTGACAGCTGATTGAAGGGCCCAAACGACGAAAAACGGCGGCGCTGGCTAAGGCGAAGGCGGAGGAGGAGGAGGAAGCGGCGGCGGCGGCGGCGGTGTGTGGAGTGATCGAAGCAAACAGGCCCTGACATGCTGCCGTATGGTGTGGTGGTATCAAGTGCCCCAGCGAGGCACAGTGGCACAGTGGGTGGCTAAAAAATATCCCTAAGACTAAAATAAAATCTCTACTTCATTTTTTATCAACGGCTTGTTAGAGATTTCGAGATATGAAGAGGAAGATTTTATTTAGACATCTGCATATTTTCTATATCTTCAGGTATAGTTTGCTGTTTTGAGATTGTGTGTGGGGGACATTTTATATACCAATGTTGAAAGCAAGACCATTTATAGTCTTAGAATCGGTAGTGCATTTAATATGATTCTTCACCTTTAATTTTTAATTATATTTTATTATTTAAGTATTTTAATTTTAATTTGTTTTCTTCTAACTTTTATTGCTATATTTTTTCATCTCCACTTCTTTTCTGATAGGTCTAATAACGTATCTCTCCACTCTATGCTGTGAATCGGGGCATAGCTGGCCGTTTAGCAAATAAAATTCCCCCCACCGTGTCGGATTCGTTATTAGATATTTTTGTCATTTTTATAGGCTTTTTTATTTCTTTAGTTTTACTTAGTTTAAGTTCTCTATTGTATTGTATTGGTTTTTTTTTTATGTACATCGACTGCATTGTTTGGCGATGAAAATAAATAAATAAAAATGTAGAGCTCTTAGGTTGTAGGACTAGTTAAAAATTAGTAATGCTGTTAAGTTGTAGCACAATTAAGGGATTTAATCTATGAAAGAACTATGGGTCCTTATAGATTGGATTATAGCGACTTGTAATTTATAATGTAATTTATAATCTTTCTGATCATATATACATATATGTACATATTTGTATATAGAATGATATTAGTTCATTACTTACCTGCTTTTTTTATGTCCTCAAGCGATAGTTGTCCCACTGTGCGTAACTTTGGGCAGAATGTGGTAATGTGTGCGCGTGTGTGTGGGGCACACTAGGCCCATACACGAGTAGGTATTACTGTGTGACATGTTTGTCGAAATTTTTTGAAATTTGTTTGGTTGCTGTGTTCGTCGTACGAGTATAGAGTATAGTATTGCTTTCGGCTGTTGGAGGTTAGGTGTTTGCTGCAGGCTAAGTTGCGCTTAATGGCATGGCGTGCATTTACTTTTAGCGTCAAGTGTCGTGCTGATGTTTGTCATGCCTCGACACACACACACACACACATATGTATATATATACATTTACTATACGAGTATATGTAGGTATATATATTTATTTATTTTTCGCCGTGTTTGTCTAACTGCACTTGACAGTTGGTGCGCATTAGCCTGATCCAATTTAGCACTTGATGCGGGGCGAGCAAGCGAAGGCACATTATGGGCACGAACCTTTAGCACTTAGCCATTGTGGAAGCGAAATGCCCCGCGGCGTGGCTACAGCTTCTTGGCCTTCTCGGTCTTCTCGGTCTCTGCACCATTTTCGTGCATTCGCTCTCTTTGCAGTTAATTGCCGAAAGTCGAAAAAAATAACAAAATGCTGGTAATGACCTCAGCTAATTGTGTGACAAACTTTGCTTTTATTTTCCTGCCTCACACACGCCTCGCGCTCCCTGCCCCTTCCCCTTCCCCATCCCTTTCGACGCCTTTAACAACACATTTTATTTCTTTTCTGTTGCCTCCGACTTTTACGTAATTTCCTTTCTGGGGAACCGCTGCACAAAAAGCTAATCGCACACATTTGCGCTTTCATTTTCATTTCACTCAACATTAGTTTCAGGTGGCCTTTTTTTCTGCTTTCCAATTATGTCCTTCAATGGGGTTCAAAGGCAAAGGGTACGTATAGCTTTAGGCCCAAATTAAGATTAAATGTCAGCAAAATCCCATTCTTTCTTCAATCCATCACGTGAACTCTATTACTCAGATGGTAGGAATGGCTCCATGGTCTAAGGAAAGCCAGAGTCTCTTATCGTCTGCCACATAGTCATTGTGTCCTTAGTGAATCTTATTATGTGATGATAGCTGATCCTGCTGCAGTCTAGGATGAAGAATTTGAAGAAACTGCAGCCATCATTAATCTTACTCTGGAATGCGCTTTTTTCCAGATCCAAAATATAATTCTCTCTTATCTGAATTGTTATTTTCTGATGGGAAATCTCCACGCCATTAACTTGCTTAAAGAAAAGATATTCTATTGCATTGGTCGTTTTCACAGTTTCTTTACAGATTTCACCTTAAAGTCTAATCAGGGAGTCTGAAAATAGAGCGGAAAATTCTTGAATTAGTTTCATTCGCATAAATAATTGCAGATTTATATTCTGATTTCAGTCATATAGCCGTGCAGTTTTTTCTTCCGGTTATTATTGGGAGTGGGGTGTAGTTTTAGGCGTTATACTCAGACACACCTCTCCATTTTTGTAGCCTACATACAATTCTGTCTTCTTCTTACCTATTACTAATGCAATTAAATCTTTTTGGACATACTTACAACACACTGTTTGGCTCGCTATAAGTGCTTAATTTTCAACGGTAGCTTATGCATTTCAATGGAATCCAATATCTAATGGGACAAATAAATCATAATTTTATGGAGCACCTTGCTCTCGACTATTTAGTTGAAAAGAATCAGCTATGTTGAAAGCATTTACGTGCTGTTGTTTAATTTTAGTATTGCCCGCACTTTCAATAGCCTTTTTAAATGATCCAGATAATCCAAAAATTTACACAACTTCAGTGACGGGTCTAAGCGAGTTAAAGGAGCTGGAAGACCTATACATCGACGAGTTGAACGAGTATACGGATTTATTGCAACAGAAGGTGCATTCCTTGAAGCTGTAAGTTCTATTCTAAAGTTGAATTATTTAAATTCAGGAGAATCTTGTACTACTTTGCAGATATCTTGAAAAACTGAAGCTGGAGAAATTGGAAAATTATGAACAGCGTGTGCAATATGTATCAAACCCCTTGAAAGCCTTTGGTCTACTTAGACGAACGCATCAGGATTGGCCCAAGTGGCACAACTACACCAAGTCTGACATAGGCGCAGGTAAGGGTATCTATGTGGGAGGAAAACCATATTTTATAATTAACTATAATTAATGGTATCTTTTTTTGTGTAGCAAAATTGATTGCAATGGAACAGCTTCTGGCTAAAGCCCCTGGTAACGATGACATGATGGAGGCTTACAAGGGAATGCATCGCATCGAAGAGGTGTACGATCTAGAAGCGGCAGATATGGCTAAGGGATTGTTATTGGGAAAGCAATATGAGTAAGAATCACCGTAAGTCTCTTCAAAGAACACGGTGGCTTACTGATCACATTTTCCGCAGCGCTAAGATGTCCACAGCCGAGTGCTTAGCCCTCGGCGACTATATGTTCAATCAGAGTGAGTTCGCGAGGGCAGCCAAGTGGTATCGCCTCGGTCTATATTACAACACCGAGTATTCGAATGATGTATTCAAGCAGATATATGGATTTGAAAGTGATGAAATACGGAAGATGTTTCTTATCGCTCGAATTAAAGGAGGTAATATATGGAGCTTGTGATATAAACTAAAAATAATCGTCGGTATCGACACCGATCGCAGCTAGTGTGGATGATGTGCCGATTTATTTAAGAGAACTTTCCCATGGGCCGCACACTCCACTTTGGAAATCAGAGAAAGGAATACCCACAGCATATCAAGAGGGTTGTTGGGGTCGACTTCCTAGGCGGAGAGACCTAACCTGTCGCTACAACTCCACAACATCCCCTTTCTTACGGCTGGCACCACTGAAGATGGAGATGATTAGCTTGGACCCCTACATTGTGATCTACCGTGACGTGCTTTCTGAGCACGAAATTCGTTTGGCAACCGATAAGTCTAATTATGGAGTCATGTTTGACACCTGGACCTATGACGCTGACCCCAGAATTAAACTAGAACGTATTAGTAAAGGCGGAATGCTTTACACAAAGGAGTTATCCGTAGTTAACAAACGGATTGAGGACATGACTGGCCTAAATGTATCTCTCACAGACGAGCTGCAAATGGCCAACTATGGCCTGGGGGGTCATTTCTTACCTCATTACGATTTTGTGAATTTGACGCGGCGTACAACATTGACGCGCATTTTTGAAACAATTGGAGGCGATCGCCAAGTAACGGTTCTCTTTTACGTGAGTATTTGCTCAACTTTGAATTTGTTCGATTTCTAGAAGGACCTTTCATTAGACTAGCGACGTTGAACTCGGCGGTGCGACTCTGTTTCCGAAGCTTAATATTACTGTACGGCCGGAAAAGGGATCTGCATTGATTTGGAATAACTTGGACCACACGGGGCAACCGGATGTATTGACAGAGCATGGGATTTGTCCAGTGATTGTGGGTTCCAGATGGAGTAAGTTTTATAATCAGACTTTAGTTAATTGCGATGGCGTAATGAAGCATTCCCTTGCAGCACTAACCCAGACCCTGGCCGAATGGGATCAAATGTTCAAGAAACCCTGCAATACAAAAATATAGGAAGTCTGGAATTGGCTGCACTATCACTATAATATAAATACAAATCGTTTTTGTTTCTAAATCAGCAAATAATAAGCCTTTACATTGTTGTAAAATTGGGGCGTTGAAAAGTTTAAGTGACAAGTGAGGGTAGTGGCGACCAATGCTTAAATGAGGAAGTATTATTTTTTCATTCGACGCAAGCCCTTCATATATAGTATCGGAATAGAAGAAAAGTGCTGAGAGACGGAAACGATTTACAAAAGTAGAAAACATATCACCTTAAAGTTTTTGAAATATGGTTAAAAATATGGAACCGCATGGAAAAGCATGTGGCTGATAGAATCGATTCGACATGCAAATCAATTAACGTTGGATGTTTTTTAACCCTCTATGACATTATTATACCGTTCTAATCAGTAATTAAAATATGCCTAACAAATCAATTTCATGTGTGAGATTCTCGTTATGCAGTCATCGTCTTTTTAGTTCATTGAAGTGTAAAAGACTTGTGTATCGGAAATGTTGAATATATTTCTAGGATTTGTTTGTTTCACGCTGTTGTCCTTCTTGCAGCCTTCGGAACAATTAATTAGCAATTCAACAAACTCAAAGCTCTACACTTCATCTGTGTTAGGCCTAACAAAGCTGAAGGAGATCGAAGACTTATACATTGATGAGTTGAGCGATTATATGGAGTTATTGCAGCAAAAGATGCACACCTTGAAGCTGTGAGTTATTTACTGAAGTTTGGTATTTCCCTAGCTGATTCATTATAATATTAAATGTATTGATTTAAAAGAGACTATTTCTAATAATTACGGTGTTTCAGTAATATTCCAATAATTGGAAAGTTGATATTAGTGCTATGATTAAGCGAGATGACGTGCGAAAAAAAAATCTAATCTGACTTAGAATAATCTCAATTATTTAAGTAGTGGTAATGGGTGATTACTATAAAAGGATTTTTAGGAACTTTTTTTCATAATCCTAATGAGGTTCAGAGTGAATAATATTCAGATTTACCGATACAGTATAATTTGCTTAGCTGCATCCAATACTTTGCACAGACTTTTGAGGCAGCTATCCTAAAAATGCAGCTAACATAACTTTAATTTGTAAGTAAAATTTATATCTTTTGCGGTTTGTTGACAATATATGAAGTTGTATTTTGTAATTTGTTATTGGTTATTGTTTGTACATACATACATAGTTAATTCTTCATACGGTTTCAGTAATTAAATTTATATTACATTTTTTAACATTCATCAAATTGCATTAAAATAGTCTGTAATTTTTGCCTCCAAAACCCAAAACTAACAGGGACCATTTGTTGTTACAGCAACATACGACTATAATTTCAATTTATTCAAGTATATGTATATATATACTTTTTGGATTTTTCAAAGAGTATAAAAAAAATAAATAAATAAGTTCCAAAAAGCGTACATTTATATGCAGCTGTGTCTATGAGCTTCTATGGGCGTGTATCTGTACAGTACAGAGAGAGCTGCTGGCGAAACATTGGCAGCTATTGTATTTATGACTACAAGGACAACTAGTAATCGTAATTTCTTTAATTGTGCAAAAACCGGACAAAAGGAATCGTCTCGACTTGCCAAATATTTATTAAGTATAATTGTGTTTTCCATGCTTACTTCATTACCTTACATTTTTAAGAGAAGTCGTACGCTCTCTTGCTTTTCCATCGACCACCCAAACTCCTACTTGTTGTTGTCTTCATACAACAGACTCAACAGCATACAAATGTAGGCAAGTTAGCAATCTGTTATACTGTTATACAACACATTCGGCAAGTTCTGTAAATTGAGTTTTTTCTTTCTTTTTTGTGTGTTTGTTATGTTATGGTGACAATTTTTGTGCTAATACATATAAAGGCCACTGTGAGTGAAACCAATTCATACGTCTCCATACATACATACATACATGCAAAAAAATCATTAATATAAGCCGCTGCGTACTTACATTTACATAAGGAATATTTGCGATCGCTTTAATAAAAAAATTATTTTCAAATTGAACACTTCACTTATTTAAATCACTCTTACAAACACTGAAAAAAATAAAAACAAAAATTGAGGCACACACATACATAAGTATGTATGTATGTACGCAGCACATTAATCGCGCGGTATTTTCGCATTAATAAACACATTAAGAACACTTCACACACAACTTAATATGTACATTCATATGTGTATGTATGCTTTCACATAATTTTTCCAATATTTAAACTTTTAATTAAACATTTTCTAAGAGTTTTCGGCAACTCCAAATAGAAACACCGCGACGCGTTCAACAGGTCGAGAAAAACTAAGCCTTGCATTGCAGCTGCAAGCACAATGCTCTCTCTAAGAATGTAAAAGTGAAGGCAAGGAATTAAAAATCATAACTGTAAGTCCGCTCTCGCGCCTCCCATACGTACATATTTCGTTTTATGCCAAATTAAAATTATAAAAGGACCAAGGGAAATTCCAAGAATTATTGCGTGGCAATTATTGCTTGTGAGAGGGGGGAGGGCGGGAGTATAAAAACATTTCATAGATGGCGCAGCTAACTTTGCTAATATTCATAGAAAATGGCTAAAAATGACTGACGATATGAAGCGCTTAAGTGCGAAAGGCACCAAACGTAATTATTTTCATACGAAATCACCTCTTGATGCTGCCAAAAGCAAATTTAAAAGAGTTTAAAAAATAACAAAGAATGAATCCAATACATTTTTTCTCTAGCTCTATTATATTGAGTCGCCCCGTAACATCGCTAGAATCTTCTTCTTTACCTTAGATATCTTGAAAAACTGCAGCTGGAGAAATTGGAAAATTATGAACAGCGTGTGCAATATGTATCAAACCCCTTGAAAGCCTTTGGTCTACTTAGACGAACGCATCAGGATTGGCCCAAGTGGCACAACTACACCAAGTCTGACATAGGCGCAGGTAAGGGTATCTATGTGGGAGGAAAACCATACCTATAATTAATGGTATTTTTTTTTGTGTAGCAAAATTGATTGCAATGGAACAGCTTCTGGCTAAAGCCCCTGGTAACGATGATATGATGGAGGCTTACAAGGGAATGCATCGCATCGAAGAGGTGTACGATCTAGAAGCGGCAGATATGGCTAAGGGATTGTTATTGGGAAAGCAATATGAGTAAGAATCACCGTAAGTCTCTTCAAAGAACACGGTGGCTTACTGATCACATTTTCCGCAGCGCTAAGCTGTCTACAGCCGAGTGCTTAGCCCTCGGCGACTATATGTTCAATCAGAGTGAGTTCGCGAGGGCAGCCAAGTGGTATCGCCTCGGTCTATATTACAACACCGAGTATTCGAATGATGTATTCAAGCAGATATATGGATTTGAAAGTGATGAAATACGGAAGATGTTTCTTATCGCTCGAATTAAAGGAGGTAGGATATACAGTTTGGGAGATAAACTAAAAATAATCATCGGTCTCCACACCGATCGCAGGTAGTGTGGATGATGTGCCGATTTATTTAAGAGAACTTTCCCATGGGCCGCACACTCCACTTTGGAAATCAGAGAAAGGAATACCCTCAGCATATCAAGAGGGTTGTTGGGGTCGACTTCCTAGGCGGAGAGACCTAACCTGTCGCTATAACTTCACAACATCCCCTTTCTTACGGCTGGCACCACTGAAGATGGAGATGATTAGCTTGGACCCCTACATTGTGATCTACCGTGATGTGCTTTCTGAGCAGGAAATACGTTTGGCCACCGATCAGTCGAATTTTAAGTTAATGGATGAGGTCTGGACCTATGAGAATAAAGATATGATGGAACGGATTAGCACGGCAGGTATGATATATTTAAAAGAGTTTGCCAATGTCAACCAACGGATTGAGGACATGACTGGTTTAAATGTGTCTCTCTCTGAGGAGTTGCAAATTGTCAACTTTGGACTGGGGGCCCATCTAGCACCTCATGGCGATTACGTCAATCTGACGCAACCATCAAAGCTAGCGACTTTATTTACAAAATTGGGAGGTGATCGCCTAGTGACGGTTCTTTTTTATGTGAGTATACATTTAGCCCTGTTCGCAAATGTATGTTTCTTCTTGCTACTCTAAAGACTAGCGACGTAGAGCTAGGTGGTGCCACTCTGTTTTCGAAGCTCAATATTACAGTATGGCCACAAAAGGGATCTGCTTTGATTTGGTATAATTTGGACCGATCCGGAAGGCCAGACGTGTTAACGGAGCATTGCATATGTCCGATAATTGTGGGTAATAGGTGGAGTAAGTATGGAACTGTATTTTCAGCTACAAGTGATATCTTAACGCTTAGAGCTTTGCAGCCCTAACCCAAACCCTGATGGAGTGGGATCAAATGTTCAAGAGGCGCTGCCTGTGATATAAACAAGAGACATCGGCAAGTGTGGAGATGCAGAAAAGTTCTGTTTTTGCTTTATACTTGTACTTGTACATGAATAAATAGAATGAAAGTGCTTATGTCTATGCTCATGTACAATGCACTTGTTGGTCTCTGCTGCAATTTCCAATTCCATTTTAATGCAATCCCAGAAGAAAGACAACACCAGAAAGCAAAACTCTTCAGTGAGAGTAAACACTGGAGTCGAGTCTGCAGGACAAATTACATTGCCAGTTCCATTCCTTTTGCCTTCCTTACCATGCCTTGCCATGCCTTGTGCTGTGCATTTCCTTAAGTGCTTGAAAGCTCACAGTTCGCCAGTACCGGGGCCCATAAGTGTAATCAACATGCAAGACAAACAATGCATTGTCCTCGGGGGTGGGCCAAACATGGCAGAAAAAATCGCGTTTTCGCCGACCCAGCGGTAGTCGAGGTGGGTTGGGTCGATGGGCTGGCTGATGGGTTTCTGGGTTCGTGGGTTGGTGGATTGGTGGGTCGCAGTGCTTGGAGTGGCGTGAAGTGGAGAAACGCGCGCCGTTCAAAACGAATTTGCCACAGCACTTGAGCGCTTAACAAGCTGGCATAGGGAAGGTGGCCATGTTATATTAAACAAGAGAGCAACAACAACAACAACAACACCGCCACCACGAACAACAGCTACAGCAACAGCAGCGATAATAATGACGGATAAAACAATTGCAACAACGGTAAACAAGAATTTGCTCGACACACCCATCAACCGGCGAACGGTAACCGGCAAGTGACGCTCCCCGTTTTACACTCAACACACACACACACACACACACACTCCCACGCATGCAGATAATACTCTGCAAAGGTGGACTCTATGTCGTGTGAGGATCTCACAAGAACCGGCGAACACGAGAGAGTAACAGCAGGACAGGGAGAGGGAGACTGAGAGCAGACAAAGTGAGTTCCCAGCCAGCACGCAATCACGCGCCATCGCTGCCACCGCACCCATTGTTGTTGCAGTTGTAGATGTTGTTGTTGTTGTTGTCGTTGTTGCTCTTGCTTTTGCTTTTGCTGTGTTGAGTATATAAGCATTAATAGGATGCTTTGCTTGCTGTTGCCATGACCGTTACCTATTTATCCCAAATGTTGTTTTTACTTATCTCTCAATGTGCAACGGTGGCGGCGGGACATCACAAACAACACATACATATACATATATTTAAGTAGTACGAGCATAGCTCGCAGGATAATGGAAGCACTGTGGAACAAAACGGGCTGCAATGTCTAATAAAGTACTAGAAGTACTTAATATAGCCAGCAAAGATCTATGGAAGTTCTTGGTAATACTATCGTGATAAGAACTTAATTAATAATTATCATCACGGAAATTTAAACAAAATTAGCTGCGTATTGTATTCCTAAGGTATTGCAGAAATTATTTGTAAAAAATTAATCGACAGTTCAACTTTTGCAACTTTTTTGTAACTTTTGTGTTACTTCCAATATTTCAAATTTTTTAAATATTTTTGATATTATTTCCAATGAATCCTAATATTTGATGGCAAAATGTGTACACTTCCAGTTACTATTGTGTACAAATGTGACCGGGACTCTACTTTTAAAAGCTTTACTTATTCATTAAAATCTATTTCATCACCTTCAAAGTAATCCTCGCCAGATGCAAGGTATGAATATGTACAAGTATAATGATTGTTTCGAGGCACAAAGCTTCTCCTAAAATGGTGTTAACCAATTCAATAGAAATGTTCCTAGTTATCAATTGACTATTCTGAAGCACAAATTCTTTAAATTTTGTAATGTGTTGTTCATCGATTGATGTAATTGGATGTGGTTCGTCTTCAACGCTTTCCTGAATCCCATCAAACAGTTTATCTCTTTCATATGCTTGTGTTTCTAATATTGTCGAAAGTCTTCTGAACAATCTCAACATTTCAGCTTTAGAAATTCAATTTTTTACAGAAAATTTAGCCAAACTTCTTCGTTAAATAATTCAGGTCACATTTCCGGGTCATATTTATACACATTATAATAGAATTAAGTCATTGCTTGAATAATGTTCAATTTTAAATTAACATGTTCTTCTATTATAATCAATCACAGGTCTTTGATTGGCTTCCTTTTCACATTTGCTTTGCGTTTTTAGCATACCGTTATAACTGATCGGTTAAAGCAATTGATTTACATTTGGCCCACTGTGTAACAGTAACATCATCATCATCAGTCATTGTAGTCAGCGCGTCCGTGCTGCTGACGATGACACGACGTTGGTGGTGACGGTTGATGGAGATGGAGGCGGAGGCAGAGACGCTGACGCTGACGGCGGCGACGTCACAGCGCGTGTGAGAAATCATCTTTTTAATTTTCACAATCAACTGTTTTTGTTGTCGTGGCTGGTTTTCTTCTTTCCACTCGGCTACCATTCTCAATTTTGTTTTTCTCGTTTTCACGTTTCATGTGTGTGTGTGTATGTGTGTGTGGCAGGGTGGCAGGGGATGGTAGGGTAAGGGACTGGGAAAATTCGCTGCCCTGTCTGGCAGGAGGAGAGGCATCAGCAGCTGGCGAACAGCAAGCGTCCACTAGCTTTTTGTTTGTGGTTTATTACACGCAAATAAATTAAATTTATGTTTGTTTCCATTTTCAGGCAGTCACCGTCACCTCGAGTATATATGTATATGGCCTGCCCCCTCCCCTCCTCGCCTTCCACTGCCTCTGCCCTTGGCACTACTGCTGCTCGCACATTTGTTTCCATTTGAGTTGTAATTTTTCCTACGCGATTTCAGTCATAGCCCCGACCCAGTCCTGTTCCCATCCCAGCCCGACCCCTAATCACCCCCTTTGAACTTCAATGTGTCTCGTTTCGTTTCGTTTCGTTTCCCTTTCTGATTGTTTGCTGCTCTTTATTAATTTCATCATTTCATGATTGCCGTTGTTGTTTGTGTTGTTGTAATTAACCTTTTGTCTTTGCCGTTGTCGTTGCCGTTGTTCATTTGGTCGATTTGGTCGATTTGGTCTATTTGTTTGCTGTCCATATTCATGTGTTGTCATTGCCATTGTCTGTGGTGCTGGTGCTGGTGATGGTGATGGTGACGGTGCCGAAGCCAGAGCCAGAGCCGGTCAAAAGGTACCGAAAAGGTACCATTGTAAATCGTCGCCCTCTGACCGCAGCTCCACACCCCCTGGTGTAGTTAAACCTTTACTTTTTGTTTGTGTTTTTGCTGCTGTTGTTTCGTGCTCGGACGTACTTTCTGACTTTTGGGTCACCATTGTTGTTATTGTTGTTGTTGACGTCGTTGTCGTTGTCGCCGTTCATGCTGTCCGTAAGATGGACAATTTTTAATGGGCAATTATGCACTTGACATTTGACGAGGGCGTATTTCTTTTTTAATGGTTAGCACTCATACATTTTTTATGGGCCACGTACACGTAATTATTATACAACACCTTGAGGGCGAAAGTGTTGTTACGCCCAAGAGATTTGCCGTCTCTGCTCCCAACTTTGCGTAGATGCCTTGCGAGTTGTAAGCTAATAAACCGAAGGATATTCCGGAATCCAGACGGAAATTAATTCCAAGGCAAAGTCAGGCGATTTTGTCCGGAACGTCAAGTGCTGATTACTAATTAATGCGAGAGAGAGAGAGAGAGAGAGAGAGAGACTCAGCATTAAAACTTCACGAAATTTTCCTCACGTGCTTTCTTTTATTTTTGAAACAAATATTATATTGGAATTTATACATGATGATCTTAAATAGTATGTTTGTTCAATAACCCAAAATTTGTTGAATGAATTAAATAACAGTCCAAAAACTAGACGTCATAAATATGTAATAACCCCATTTAAATATTCATTTTTATTCATCACAACTACAATGTGTTGCTTCACTATTTAGAACGATTTGAGTTTATCGATGTTCTAAAATTTTGAAATCTATACTTTGATAAGCGAAAGCAACCTATACCCAAACAAATAGGTTCATCCATATTGTATAGCTTGTGTTTTTATTAAAGAAGAAAGAAGCTGTAGTTTGTTTGTTAGTTGATTGACAGATTTTATTCAATTTAAAAAAGAGGTAGAGATGGCCACGTACGCAACGTTGAATTACAGCTCCGAAAAAGTGAGCAGTATTGTCATAGAAACATTTAAAATACAAAAAAGCTGGTAAGGTAATGATCGAAAGTCGCTTTAAATATAAATAAGTTATCCAGAGAGGAGAGCAGAAACAGTATTGTTAAATTTTATAGAGTTATAAAATATTTTCATTTCTCTCGCCTTCCTAATTTCTTGTCGTTGTACTAATTATATTTTAAAATGTTTAATGCGCTCATTGTGTATTGCTTTTGAAGTAAGCTTTACAGGACGTTTATTCGCTTCGCTGTCGGCATTGGATTTTGTTTTCCAATCTGATCCCAAACGTGCCATCTAATCGTTTGCAGGCCACTTTCAAAACACAAATGTGTAAAAAGTAAGCAGGGCCGGCCCAGAAGCACTTCGCTCCCTATTAAATGAAAATTCATTAAGATTTCATGCATGTGACAAAAACAAAAAATGATGATGCCATCAACATTTTTCCGCACAATTTTCCAATATTTTCACTCGCAGGCAGCGACGGACGCCTTTGGCGTAATTTCTTTATTTATACGCGCATTTATTTCTTGTTCAACGTATTATTTTCCTATATAAATTTACATTAACATTTTTTCGCGTCATTTGAGCAGAAAGCAAAAAAAAGGGCCCGAAAAACACATAAAAAAAATAAAGAAGAGCACCAGGACCAGAACCAGAACCGGAGCAAGAAGCAAAGCAATCCATGGCAATGGCAATTGCAGGCAAAAGAAAAGAAACTCATTAAAATTTTACGAACTTGATGTTCGACGCAGTTTTTCTCTTTTTATGGCCATTGCCTGTGTGTGTGTGTGTGTGTGTGTATGTAAGGCGTTTTTTGGGGTTTTCGGTGCCTTGCCACATTTTGCCTAATTTCATGGCCGGCCTACGTCAAGGACCCTGGCACATTAAAAATTTTGATCACGTTACGTTTTTTAATTGTTCCCTCGCGGCGCGCTCATTAAAACCAGTGCGCCAGGCCGCATTTTCCAGCCCCTGGCCC